CATCCCCAAAGCACGCACGATGAGCACATTACTATTTCCTCCTCCAAGAATGGGATGTTACAACGTGGGGCCCGTTCCTGAGCTGGGGAGAGAGGACGAGGTCATAGGTCCCGTCCCCATTCACTAGTTTCATTTTACACAGAGATATCCCTGTCCCCTGGCCATGGAGAACACTGCTTATCTTGGCAACGTTCACACAAATGGAAAACCCTGGACGCACAGAAGTACCGCGCATTGTGGATGACTCAGTGCAAAGTCAGTCAGCAATAATCACCGCCACTTAGTGCTCTCCAGCGGGGGGCCAAGCGAGTCACCTTCGTACCTGGAAGTGGCAATGTTTTGGTTGGTGTTACAATTTAGAAAATCAACATATTACCGTGAAATTATGATTACATAATTACTACAAAAATGATTCATGAGTCAATGATCAGATATTTATTTCAACCTGTGTTCAGTGGTATTGACATACTGCTTTAGGGCTAGTAAGTGAAGGGCAGTGAAACTAATGGACATGGTCCCAAGGACAGACAGTGGAGCCCGAGAGAGAGCCCCCACCATGAAAAACAGAGTAATCCCACGTGATCTCCAGCTGAGCCTTGACTGGCACGGTATGGACAGAGGAGAGAGACCAAAGTGGACTAGGGCAGTTTTGAAGTGTTCCAGCCACCCTCCACATGTCTGAGAGTAGCGTTTCTAAAACACGAATCTGACCAGGTCATCACCTTTACCTCAGACCCTTCATGGACCGTCCCCACCCAAGGCCCCCAGGATAATCACTGGGTTTCTGGGTGAGGCCTGTTGGGCTTTAAATCGCCTGCTCCCCTCAGCCCCACCTCTGGCCGCTCGCTGCCGCCCCCGGCTGCTCCAAACCGCAGGACCTCCTCTCACACTGCCCATTGCGGTGGCCCGTCTGCTGGGAGTACTTGCTCTGATTCCCCTTCTAAAATCCTGTTTACTCTACTAATTCCTACCTTTCCTTTCGAAGTGAACTCAAGTGTCACCTCTTGGGGAAGTCTCCTTTCCCTGCTACCTGCACCTGCACACACACACACCCCCGCTGGATTACAGCCCCACGCCCGGGGCTCCCGGGACCCCTGCACGTGCACACTCCTGCTGGATTACAGCCCCACGCCCAGGGCTCCCAGGATGCCTGCACACGCAGCCACCACGGCACTCACCACGCCTGACTGCAGTCACGGACTCACTCAGCTCTGTTCCCCTACCCTACACCCGTCTTTTAAGATCAGTTTTATTGAGGCATAACTGACATCTGATAAAAGGTGTCCATTTTAAGTGTATGTACACCCATGTAACCACCTGACAGTCAAGACAAAATTCCTTTTTCTACTTAAGATTTTATTTGTTTATTTTTACAGAAAGGGGAAAGGAAGGAGAAAGACAGGGAGAGAAACATCAATGTGCGAGAGAGACATCAATCACTTCCCTCCCACACACCCCCAACTGGGGACCTGGCCTGCAAACCAGGCATGTGCCCTGACTGGGAATTGAACCCGTGACTTCATTGCAAGCTGGCACTCAATCCACTGAGCCACACCAGCCAGAGCCAAAAGATAGAACATTTTTATCACCACTAAAACATGTCTAATCTCCTCACTGCTCCCTTGCTTGCTTTAAAAATTAAAAGATACTAAGATTGTAAAAAGACATTTATTTTTACTACTTGACCAATCTATAAAGGTTTCATTATTTTCTACTACATGCAAGTATTATTTATAATTTAAAAATTAAATATTTCTATTTTAAGAGTATATTTTTAATAGTTAAAAATTAATCACTACATTGAAGATAAAATATTTTAACTTCAAATGTATTTGACAGACTGATTTGTGCTACACAAAATTTGTAAATACTTTTAAGTCAGGTATGAATATTCATGCATAAGAAGGTACGTAATTAAATCTGGCCAACAATAATAAAGACTCAACATTATCTAGATGACCAAATAAAATAATATTTAAGTAAGTTTAAAAAACATTTTAAAAACTTAAGATCAAACTTTATTTAAATAATTCACAGAAGAGTGTAAGACTTAACATTTTCAGCACTGTAATGAACTGAATACCCTCATTAACTCTCCTTCTAAAACTAACTAAAAAAAATGTTTGATAAAATAAAACTCAGCCCTGGCTGGTGTGGCTCAGTGAATTGAGCACTGGCCTGAGAACCAAAGGGTGACTGGTTTGATTCCCAGCTAGGGCACATGCCTGGGTTGTGGGCCAGGCCCCCAGTGGGGGGTGTGCATGAGAAGCAACCACACACTGATGTTTCTCTCCCTCTCTTTCTCCTTCCCTTCCCCTCTCCATAAAAATAAACAAACAAATACATAAATAATCTAAAAAATAAAACTAAAATGCCTTTTTAAATATATTGATGAGCTGGCAAAAAAATTTTAAAACTTTTAAAAGTCAAAACCTATATGAATGCAGAACCTAGAGATAAGCATCAAAGTCAGCTTCCATTTAGAGGACATTGGCCAAACCAAGCAAACTAAAGTTTTGTTTTTTGTAACGCTTTTTTAACTGCCTACCAAAATTCTATCTGTGCTTCCCCTCCACAGTAACCCACAGTCAAAAATCATGAACTCACAAAGAAAGAGAATACACGTGCAAGAGTGAACAGAAAGAACAGATAGCAGAATAAAGTTCATAGCTGTTAGAACTGCCAACTCAGAGCAGAAAACCGTTATATTTAACATTGTTGAGAAACACTCCTCCACGCGTCTCTCTTGTTCCTGCATGGCTTGCTTTGTATTCCCCAAAATTGAGGCCTGGATGACCTTTACCCAGACCATTTTCCAGGCCTGTGTTTGCAGTAAACGACCTTAAAGGATAAAGTAACACCTCCCACTAGGAGAAGGTGTAGCCTTGCTCACTGTCCGCTGTCAACTGGCAAGTTTCCCAAGGTTAGCGACTGTCTCCTGTGCAGCAGCTATCTGTGCCTCTCCTCTAGGAACCGGGATACAGGGGACCAAAACAAACACGCTGGCACTCGGACTACTGCTTTTTCTGTGAGTAATAAAGTCTTTTATCTCTGGTGCAGGAGTCTCGTGTCTTCTTTCAGCATCTATACAACCTGCAACTTGTATAAAATCTCAAATCCTTCACAGTTCTTGACAGTCTTAAAAAATAAAAGTATGAATAAAAAGCATGAGTTAAAACACTATTAGAAGATTTTAAAAGAAACAGAAGTTCTAGAAGCAAAAATACAATTGAAATTTAAGACTCATTGCTTGATTAAAGGGCAGATTAAACACAATTGAAGAGAGAATTAGTGAATTGGAAGGTATATCTAAATTTAATCAAAAGGCAACATAGAGAAGAAAAAAGATAACTCTGAAATAGAATTTAAGGGATATGAGCAAAGAATGAGGAAAGCAAACATAAATCTTATTGGAGTTACAGAAGGAAAATAAAGCAAAAGTAATTAATTATTTGAAAAGATTACAGAGATGTTTCCAGACTAATGAAAGATGCGAATCCATATATTTGGGAGGCCCTATGAATTCTAAGAGGTTAAATAAAAAGAAACTCACACCTAAATACAGAAGAATAAAACTGCAAAGCAGCAAAAAATGTGGAGGAAATCTAAATAGTTAGACAGAAAAGGCATTATATTCAATGGCATAAAGATAGACTTTCAGCTAATTTACAACAGAAACAGTGAAAGGCAGACAACAATGGAATATTTTCAATGTACTGAGAGAAAGTAATCTAGAATTCTGTACCCATGTTAACTATCATTCTAAGAGTAGGTTCAAAACTAAGGCATTTTCAAACAAAAAAAGAAAAGACTTTTCCTCTAGTTGGAGCCTTAAAAAAAGAGATTCTATAGGAAAAAGAAAAATGATCTGAGATGGAGTGAAAATGAAAAAAGAATTGATGAGCAAAGAATGAGATTCTACTTTATACCAAATTCATTGGAAAAATTAAGAAATCTGACAATTCCAACAGTTGACAAGGATCAAGGAAAACTTTATGCATAGCTGGTGGGAGTACAGATCGGTACCACTCCGAAAAACAACATGGCAATAACTTGTAAAACAGAACTTGTACATATATAACTCAAAAATTCATCTAAAGGTATTAAACTAGAAAAACTCTAACACGTAGGACACTCTTACACTGGGGCACAAGACATACATAAATATGTTCATAGTGGCACTGTTTATAATAGCAAAAAATGTAAATAACTGACCTGCCCATTAACATAATGAAAATTAATGAATTATTACTATATATATATTAATGTGGCTGAATCTGAAACATCTTAGAAACATATTAAGTGAAAAAAGTAAGATTTGGACTCTAAACACCAGTGCAATGAAGGCTAGAGTATAGTAATTTCTCACGGCAGCGTCTTAACCCCTTTCCAGAAAGGAAGTACATGTGACTTCGCTTAGCAGTGAGCCCCTCTCTCCCACAGCTTTGCATCTTGAGCAGAGAAATGTGAGGATGAGGGATGGGAGCAGTCTGGAATTATACCAGGGGTAGTGCCCTGGGCCGTTCCTACTGACTTGGTTCCTGTCCTATTTATTCTCAAGCCTAGTTTTCCAGACTACTCAGCAATTCCGTGAGCCTCCCACCGTCCTCCAGTAACTTCCCATTTTCCATAAAGGAGTGAGTCCAGGCATGTTGCTTGCAACCAAGAGTCCTAACTGATACATGTACCTGTAAGCAATGAATTTATATAATTGCACCTGTTCTGATTAATCCTTAGTTATCAACTGCCTCCCCACGATTTGGTTTCCCAGCTAGGTTTGATAGGCTTCCACAGGAAAATGCCTACTTGTACAGTTTAAGGCCTAGCTGCCGGTGCTACCCGCGTTGGCTGAATCCCTTTGGGTTATCACTATCCAAGGGGCACAACCCTGACTTCCTCCTTTCCAAGCTGGCCAGTGATACTGGCTACACTGAGAATCATGGCCTCAAGGTGTGAGAAAACCCATCATTGCACCAGCTGTGTTATTTAGGGTGTCTTACCTCCTCTGTCTTTAAAACGTCCCATATTCGAGCATGATCTTCCTCCAGCCAGTGTCCTGTGCCCTCCACCTTGGTGGAAGGTTTGAATTTAGACACCACTTGAGCAGGCTCTCCCACAGGTTGCCCCTCCATCTTGAAAGAGCCAGGCAGGAGGCATTACGAACCTGTGTGGAAGAATAAAGTGAGATGCGGGTGAAAACATCAAGTAACATAGGAAGAGATATGAAAGCAAATCATCTTGTTGGATTTGTGAATCATGAGACCATTGGAGACAGTATCACAGAAGCATCAACTTTTATGGTCACTTGTTATGTTTTAAATGTTTGTTACTGGTATTTTAACACAGGCTTCTGGAGGTAGAGACACGTTTTGGTGGTAGATGAAGTGATACAAATTTTAAAGCTAAGTGAAAAGCATTCTCTGCCTATTGTAGCTTCCTGTCCCTTTGCTCTGGCCCCTTCAGGAGGAGAGACGGGAATGGGCGGATGTAAGGCAAGCTTGTGTGACATTTTTGTGTTTCAAATGTGGGAGGAGCACTGGCTGTGGCATCAAACAGCTATTGAGCGCCTATCTGTACGAGACTTCACGCTGAGCATGCACAAGGAATGCGGCAGTGTGGTTCTTGACCTTAAGAAGCTTAGTGTCTCAGGGCAGAGAGGGCCAGGGTTGTAAACAAGTGATCACAGCACAGAGTATTACAGCACAGTGTGAGAAATGCCACAGTACGTTTCCTCTGAGCTTCCGAACTGCAGTGGAAGCTCAAAGGAAGGTCCTCTTTGCTGCTTATTAGCAGTGTGACTTCCTGAGCTCCAGTTTCATCAGCAGTTTCTATGAAGACAGTATTTAAAAGTTGATATCTATTCCATAGTGTCTGCTTCCTTGCTATCTTCCCATCTGCCAGTGGCTTATTCAGATCACATCATGCCTGCTCTGCTCCACACCGTCCTAAGGAATCCCCTCACCTCCATTCGAGTCCCTGAGAATCTCCCCTTCTCTGTAGAGTTTTTCGAAATAGCAAATCTAATAATGAAGCTCCACCTACCTGAAACTTTTCCCGGAAAATAAAATCCAAAGTCTTTAGTGTGACAGCCACGGCCCTTGTGTCTGGCTTCCTCGCCTCCCCCCTCCCACCACGCCATCCTGCCCTCTCAGCCGCTCTGCGTCAGCCTTCTGAAAGTACTTGTGGACCTCAAATATACCCAGTACATTTTGCCTTTGTTTGTGACACCTGCCCTCCACCCTGCCTCCTCCAAGAGAATAACGACTCTTCCTTCGTTAATCTCTTTACATCCCCTGGACAGATTGCTATCACGTCACCACAACACTTCATTAGGTTTATTTGCTCTGAACTTGATGCCCACAGTCTGGTCTTTTCAGCATCTTGACAGTAGACTTGGCAAGTGTCTCTTCATATACAGAATAAGTACTAAATAAATGTCCGATGAATTGGTTAATTCAGTAAACTATGAAAATGCAGTGAAAACGAGGGGACAGAATGTAATATACTCAACCAACAGATTTATAAGTCAAGTTACCTGTTCTCTTTAACTTCTTCATTGACTTAGTGGGCTGGAAGCTCTTCATAAGAAAGGGCCAAGTCTAACATTTACCATACACTACCAGCAGCGAATGCTGCAAGCTGCAATTGCTCACTACGCAACAACAGACTAGTTTCCGTGCACGCGTCCTCCAGGAACTGAGCGCGTCTGCAAAAAGCGGGCCTTCTGCTCACTTGACCTAGCGCCTAAATAAAAGTAAGCGGAAATCAGCATTGCTACGTCAGGCAGCGTGCGTAAGTCAGAGGATTTAAGAAAAGGATCTTGTGCTGCGGAGTTACTTCTCTGCCTCACGTGTTTCATCTGTAAGCCACGGAGAGCAAGTCACCCGCCTGCAGAACAGTGATGAGGAAGCTGCTAACCAAAGCCAATTTGCGGTCTGAAGAAAGCTGGAGTGCTTACGACCCTCCCCCGAGGAACCAGGAAACAGAGACTTTATAATTAATGAACAAAGTTCTTCTGAGCTGACATTCTAATAAATGATGCTGACACATACACGCAAGGAAATAAGCAAAGCAGAGTCATGCCGAGGTTCTGCGGTTTCAGTCCAAGATAAATAAATAAATAAAAATAAACGGACAAAATGGAAACAGGCCAGATTAGTAGGGAAGGAAATTCCATTGTTGTTACTGGAGATAATACTGTAAACAACAAATAATAAATCAAAACAGAGTGGGAAGACTACATTAAATTGTGTGGCTGTGTCCTTTGTATATCATGGAAATGTAACCGGATAAAATCGGCAAACTACAAACTCTCAGGGTGCACAATGGGGCGCCTTTAAGCCCAATGTACCCCAGTGACCCCACGGCTCTTACTCGAGGGTCTGCCCACAGCTGCCTTCTCATCTCTGCAGCGTGGGTGAGCGTTGGCGAATGTTCAGTGTTGGAGCCTGAACTCTGCTGTGCACTGACTTCCCACAGAGTGTTCCTTATCCTGTTTGGGAGGAAGATGCAATTCTGAGTTTTCAACCATTCCAACGCACGGGGGACACTAAGGAGGGATGAAGAGAGGCAGCCAGCTCTTACGAGGCTCTTCAAGCATTTTGAGATCCTCCACCCCATCTGAGACATGAGGCCTTTCCACCCATTCCCACTCAATACATCTCGTCACTCACAGGAGACTATATATGCAACATATATTGAGCTCCCACTGCATACCGGCCACCGTGCTAGGTATTTTCCACATTATCTCTAATCCATACAATAGCCTTGCAATGAAGTTATTGCCAGTTTACAGCAATGAAAGATCAGATTCAGAGAAGATAAGTAGCTTTAATGCACTGCTAAGAACTGTGGAGTTCCCAAGTAATGCTCTCTGCCCTAGGTCAGTTCAGAAGTCCTCCCACCCTCTCCCTGACCCCAGTACTGGTGTAACATAACCGCTCTCTTATGTCCCTCCCCTGGGACGAGAGTTCAAGTGTCAGCGTCTTAGCTCACTGGCACAACAGTGTCCCCTGGAGAGATGTCACATCTGAAGAGTACATAGATGAGAGTGGGACAGAAAAAGCAGGAGGGAAACATGGGGACACAGACCACTCCTTTTCTTTTTACTCTCATGTCAACTTCTGGCCAGGGCAGGCTTTGTGAGCGTGACCTGTGCGGCAGTCATGCAGGGCCTGGGGCTCAGGAGGGCCCCATGCTTGGTCGAGGGTTCTGTTGTCAGTGTATTGAAATCCTTAATTTTTGAACAGTCAGCCCTGCATCCTCATTTTGCACTGGGCCCCACATATATAGCCCATCCTGCCACCGACCTACCTTTTTCCTCTTCAGGTCTGAAGTTTCACTCCATACCTTCTTTAAGCAATTCACGCATTATAGGTTTCCTATCTATTTCCCTAGAAGTCTATGCACGGGAGCCATTTTTTATTAGAATTAAAGCAGGCAGGAGGAATACGTAGACCTTCTCTACCTGTGACATGCTGCATGTCTTAGAGCCGAACTACTGCCTTTTTCCTTAAAACACATGGTTAAGGCTTACAAGCCAAGTTCTATACAAATACCACCAACACAGGCTCATTCGACAAGCAAGGCAAAAATCACTGTGAATCTAAAGGGCAGACTCTTTCATTCTACTTAATAATCGATCTAAAATACCATAAGCCTATGAGCTCTTGTGGAAATCAGTTTTGAATAACTGTTGATCTAAAACACCTGATACCCACAACAGAATCTTTTTTTAAAATCACTGGATCATCCTTAAGTTGGAGGTGAGGTGGAGAAAGGAAGTTATGTGTATATAAAGGCACATCCGGCCAGAGAACATAGAAGCAAGATCTTGCTCCAAAGTTTAAAATACGATTGCTTGAGAACTGTATTTGTTTTTTAAGTGTAAAAGGACTGTGATTATCCACTGCTTCTACTGCATGAAGCAGAGAAGTATACGAACCAGGAAGGCAGGTTTGATGGAACGGAAGAAGGTGGTTGTGCTTGATAGAAATTGATAACTGAAATTGGTGGAACTAATAATTTTATTATGATTATATAAATAATCAAAACAATTCTATGATTATTAATAAGTACTTCCTTAAATAATTTTTTTATCTTTAAAATTTATACTACTAAGGCGTGTATTTTCTTTTTAATATATTTACCACTCTATGCTTATGATATAATATGTATAATATAGAATAATAGCATTTCTCCCATTCCTTCAAAAATAATCACTGACTGACGGCCATACCATTTTCTCTGGTCATTACAGAGGACCCGGTTGACAGCTTCATGTCCTAAATGACATTAAGTACCAGAAGTAAATGAGCAGCTTCTCACAGGCTAATCTTAAAGTCATAAGTATTAAGGGACATTCTAAGAACACAAAACTTTAGCATTATTAGTGCTTGCCATTGGATAAAAATTAGCCATAACTCCCATTAATATTTTTGAAACGTAGCTTTAAAATGAGTGTTAGAGCACAATTTCACTGAAATCTATATTTATTGTATTAATCACCACACTGGATTTTGTTTGATAAGTCAATCTGTACTTGACTGAATTTGACTTTCCTTCCGGTGATAGTAAATAATGTATGCGGCAGCCCTCTAAATCATTATCTTTTCCTTCTCCCTCTCCTCTTTACAAACTTTCAAAAGAAAAAGAAAAGTGGGCCATGATGCAGGCATAGGTAGATACACTGTGCCTCCTCGCACAACAAATAGTAGGACAACAACAAATTAAAAACCAAAAAATAACCAGAACTACCAGAAAATCAAACTGTATGGAAGTCAGACAACCAAGGAGTTAAAGAAAAAACATTCATCCAGACTGGTAGGAGAAGCAAAGACAGCAGCCGTGTGGAGAAAACTCGAGGCAAAGTGGCAGCTGGTGGACCAGGTGGTCCCACATTTGTGTGTGGATAACCGGGAGCAACAACTGGGGAACAAGACAGACCACACAACCCAGGGTTCCAGCAGGGCAAATAAAGCCTCAAACCTCTGACTGTAAAAATCTGTGGGGGTTGAAGCAGCGGAATAAACTGCTCACCACACAGGAGAGTTCGTTGGAGAGACTCACAGGGTCCTAGAACATACACAAAACCACCCACCCAGGAATCAGCATCATAAGGGTCCAATTTGCTTATGGGTAGTGTGGAAGTGACTGAAAGCCAGC